GACAGAGATGTTAAACAAGACTGGTCTTCCTGTCCCTTTACCTCAACTACTCAAACAGCCTGGGACCAACTCACAGGAGCTGCTGATCAACTCACCGTCAGAGCCAGCAGTTTCCCATAGGTGAGATGGGCCGGGATGTGGTCACTCTTGGATCTCAGCGACTCCACGTACCAGTGCTCTGCTTCGGGCAGCCGGCTCATTCTCATGTAGGCTTCTCCTACACAGTGAAAAAAATGTTAGTAAGAATGTCCAAAATTTCTCAAAGTTTCCATAATTTATTATCTCATTTATAATTTGCTATGTATGAAATGAGTAAAGATCTTGAAGTGCTTTGGATATCTGCAATCACACACACACACACACAAAGCGCCTTACAGACAAGTGAGTGAGGAGACTGAGTTATGGCCTAATTAGGGCTGAAGGTGCACGGCTGAGATGAAAGTCTTGTTGGAACAGAATTGCAAGAGAGAGTTCCAGCTGCTCAGTTTCAGTCAAAACTCCCAAAGTAAAAGATATTTTATCACATCTACTGCAGAAAAGTTACTTCTCTTCCATCAGTCTACATGGCACAGCATGAAATGGTAGGCAGAATGTGGAAACTGTTTGCTTTTAATGATAAGAAATCATGAACTTATGTTTTTTAAAAACTAGGAAATGTTATGAAACAGTTCTGAAACTATATTGGAGGGAGAAGAAAGATATTAAAAAACCTAATCTCTGAATGTAGTTAAATTACATCATCTGCCACAATTACTTTAAATTAGACTTCAGCATCCATAATTTAAAAATTGCTAGTCTTAAGAAGTTGCATACAAAATGACCAAATCTGGACATTTTTCAAAGTGAAATCCTTTACTGTGAGAAGCTGAGTCAGGCAACGCTGAAGAATAACAGATGAATGGGATGTCAGAAAGCCATATATTGTGGGACAGATAATTGTAGTCTTGAAGTTTCTGAGAAAAAATTTAGAGTACAGAGACAGACAGACTCTTTCTCCAGGAAGAAAACAATCAAATTTCGCAAAGGTTGGAAATAAGCAATATCAAACAAGTATCTAATGGTGAAGAACAATAGCTTTCGGATTAATACTCTGCATTTATACAGCTCTTCCATAAGGGCTTTAGATACAAATACGTCCTTGCTCACACCAATGACAGACTGAAAAAGCCTTCAGAAGAGTCGGGACTTCATCAGCGCGCCAGCTGATTCATTCCAAATAAATGACTGTATCTTCTTAAAATTGTGAAGTCACAGTTTATCCAGTGGTACCAAGGGACAATCAAGACATGACTACAGCTGACACAAGCAGACAGCAGCTAAATCTGTCTCTAGACTAGTTACTACCCCCAATTCTGCATTACACAGAAATTAATAGCTGTGAGGGTATCAAGGAGAGATAGAAGGACCATTGCTCTTTAATCAAGCTTGAATCCAACTATCACACCCCCAAAACTAAGAGAAAAAATGTGCCACCTACATGCTCAAAGAAGTAAAATAGAAGGAACTCTTGCCACAGGAGCTACTTTATCTTGAATATTTACAGGGGTTAAGGAGTCTCTTGATGAAAGAAAATTGGACTAGGTTCAGTCAGGATTTTTGGGTTTGCTTTTTTTTTGGTTGGTTAGTTTTTGGGTTTGTTTTTTTTTTTTTGGGTTTTTTTTTTTTTTGGGTTTTTTTTTCTACCTTTGTCAGAGGACAGGAATCCCAAGCCAAATGTGGCACTTATGTTTGAGTTTCAGGAGCGCAGTGCATGCAAAATGACCAAACCACAGCCTGCAGATAGAATGAGTGTGATGTAGAGTCAGCAGTCACACTGAGCCAAAGCTAAGGAAAGCCAACATAATTTTTTTTCAGCAAATAGATTTTTTCCAAAAAGGAGTACAAGCCTGTAAATCTAGAAGATGAGGTTTTTTTCATTCAAGTATCTTCTGAGCATTCTGTACTCATGCACTGGTCTTGCATATCTGACTATACACAGAAGTAGCTGATGTTTCAGTCCCAGAATATTTAAGACATTCTATTGCTGGTTAGGCTCAAACCATAAAAAAACAATTTCAAAAACACGTAAGGAAAAAAAATCCAGGCAGGAAAGAAACCCCAGAAGAACATGCCCCCAAAACCTGTGATCAAGTTCAGAGATACCAGTGTCACATGTATTTTTTTTTCACTATGTCAGCACCCACAAATAAGCGACATAACATCATACCTTGCTATGCACAATACAAAGTTTTGTCAAGTCAAGTGTTGAAAGGATGGAAGAAATCAGAAATCAAGCTATATGCTCTGTTGAGTCCTCTCCCTAGCTGTGTGCTTTATGGCAGAATGTATAATTATTTGATTGCATACTAGTTTTCCCACAGGCCCCTGCTTCATTTAGCATACAGAAAATGAAGAATCCGTGTTGCCCTTTTCTTTAAGTGCAATAGTCCAACCTGTTGCAGTTTGGCAAAGTTTCAAGCAATTAACAACAAGATCCTTTAAAAAGTAATATAAGCAGCCATAAGAGATGATTTAGTATCTGCTGGTAGTGTATGCTGTATGCACTGCCAAACTTAAAAAAAATCTAAGCTTCTTAACAATTTTCCATGATGAGTTCTGATATAAGAAGAGATTAACAACTTCAGAGTACAAGGAAATTCAATTTTTAATAGGTTTTAAGAGCTCAACAACTTTACAAGCTAACCTCCTAAAACTTTGAGAGTATTTCTGAATGGCGCATCTAGAAATGAGGTTATGCCAATCTAAATGTCAAACTGTGGAGAAAAGAATTCAGTTCTCCTGAAGAATTTACAAAGAATTCTCTATAGCTGATTTTTTTTATTTTTTTTTTCTTTTGTCAGGAACAGCTACATTATAAGCAATCAGAACTTACTTATAATTACTGCAGAAGGAAGTACTGTTAAGGGGGTCTGTTATTAGTTTCATCTTCTAAATGATTTACAATGACACTTCTATCTAAAAACAAATCAAAGTTGAAAACTGACAAAGGTTTTGCCACCATCATACTCAAAGACTTGAATAAAATCAAGTAACTGTTAATTGAAGTATTAATTCAGTCAAGTGATTTTATGTGTTAGACCGATGCAATTTTAATATAAGCTGTTCCATCTTCAGACAGACCAACAGAAAGACAGAGAAAATATTTATGGATTGAATTCTGTTATTCAGGATGCATTTGTGTGTCTGAGATTAAAATAAGAAAAACAGTATTTGTCATTTATGATTGTGTATTTTTATAAACTTGCAACATGAATGATTTAATCATTTGGAAACAGCGACCATTGGCAGAAAATACACAAATGATGGTAAATATGAGCAGGCTTCTGTATTTACTTAATTTGTAAAATCTCTCAAAACTCTTGTTAAAAATCTAAAAGCTCACACAAAGCTTATTAATGAAACTTGACTGATCTATAAAGTTCAAGAGAGTTGCTTTCTACTTTTCTACTAAAGGTAACTGAAGACATAAATTGACAGTTAACTTAAATTCCCTAAACCATATCAACAGTCAGCCCTGTGCAGCGTTGCTAACACAATGAGTGGTGGCAAGAAATTCAACAGCTAACTGGAATAAAAGGAGACAAATCAGTCATTTAAAAACGTTTCAATTATTACACTTCACCTAATATTTTGTTATTTATGCACCTATTTCTTAGCCTGTTCTAAAAGGAGGAATATAGACTTTTTTAATTACAATTATCATTTACTAATGTAGTTCAAGAAAACATTAATATGCAACTGAAACACTACTTAAAGGAGTGTATATAACGCTCCTTAAACCCTCTATCAATACTTTGTGTAAAAAGAAATGAGAGACGGTCTACCTTTTAACTAAACTTTAACTAGGCTCTAACTAAAATTCTGGTACTCAAGTAGATTTTCTTTGTCATAGAGATAGATCAGATGCAAGAGTAGCATTCTACAAAGCACTATTTCATCATATTTCTCCAGAATCCATTATCTTTCAAAACAAAACAAACAAAACCAAAAAATCTCCAACAAACAAACAAAAAAAAAAACCAAAACCACCCCTACTGAAATGATCCCATGATTTAATTATAATTAAAGAACAATAACAAAGATATTAAACTTTAAACATGTATATTAAATAGTAATATGAATAAAGGTTAAGCTTGTTATCAGCTATTCCCCCTGAAAGGCTAACTTTATACTCAATAATGAACTGCAATATAAGCTCAATACAAATCTTCAGTGAAACAAAAAAAAAGTTAAGATTTTTCTCATACACATGACACATTGTTAAAAAGCAAAATCAGGTGTCATTTACATGGATATATGTTATATGGTGCTAGATTAACCTCTCACCTGCTGATTTCATATTTGTTGTTTCAGATGCACATTGTCACATGAAGCAAAGGCTGTCTCCTTGCCATGTTAGACCTACCTATAAGCAAGTACAATGGAACTGTGGATGCAACAGCACTGTGCTTCTATAGGTGCTATATACCCATACTTTTCAGATTAAGAACAAATGTTCCTCCTGCGGTCCTCCTCTTAGGACCCCAAAAGGTATTGCTGAAAAGACAACTGAAAAATTATCCCTGCAAAGGAGACAATGCAAGGTAAATTTGCCTTGCATCATCCTTGTAATTATCTGTCAGTTAATTATCTATCACTCTAATTGCTAGATGGTTAAAATATTACATAGAAAACATAGATTTTGGCCATAACAAGAGCAGAAGTCAGACAGAAAGGAAGATGGACATGCACTTTGAGAAGGAAAACTTCTAATACATACATTCAGTCAGGATTTAAATTTAGTTTTTTCATCATTTCTTTGATTTGCGAACATGATCAGGTTGCTTTAGAAGATGATGGGGAGGTCTGCATCCTTGTACCACAATACCACAAGGGGTTTGTGTCTTTCATAAATGCAACCGTGCAGTACCCTTGTGCAAATCAAGGCAGAAGATGCACCTACCATAAACGCACCTCTCTAGATATCCAAATTCCTTCTTTCTTCCCTTAGATACCATTGCATACAATAACATAACAAATCTAGAAGCAGAGTTTGATGTTATACTATACTGGCGTTTGAGATACACTGCAAAAGATTAACAGTCTTGGTGATAAATATGCAGTGCATGCACACCTCTGGAACAGCTGAAGCACATGAATTAATAACCATCAAGTTCTGCATAGATTAAACATATTCTGTTTGTTTTTTTCTCTTTTACAGACCAGTTTCCTTGAAGA